AAAAAAAAAAAAAGGCATCGACCCATGTCACTTTAGTTTTGTGTATTTCACTGTATGTACATAAATTATATTTCAATAAAATGCTTTAAAAGAAAAGAAAGGCTGGGCATAGAGCCCTCCTGGGGCCTGCAGCAGTGTCTGACATGGCCCTCTTCAAGGTGAGGGACCGAAGCTGCTCTGGCAGGTGAAGGAAAGGCAAGCATCTAAAACCTGGGAGAGCTGGCCAGAGGGCAGCCCACTGACCTTCCTCAAATGGATGCCAAGATGAGGGACCTTCAGACAGGCGTCCTCAGTAGGCCCCACACAATCTTCATTACCACTTACTCCCAGAGGTATGCAGCCAGGCAGCTTGAGCTCAGTAGGGCCAGGACTGTGAGGGTGAGAGCTCCTGGGCTCCTACTCGTTGGTCAGCCAGCACCTGAGGCCACATTAGGTATAGGAATGAAGGGTGGGGAGACCTGGCTGAACTTCCAGAGGGGCCCACCCTTTGTGCTGGTCCAGATATCTTCCTGGTCCCCATCTTGCATTTTCAGGATGCCAAGTGTGCCCTCACCATGGAGGGGGTCTTAGAGCAGCTCCTGCCTGGAGGAAGGCAGGTAAGTGCTGGAAGATTCCTTACCTGGGCATCTCTGCTCTACAAAACCCGCCAAGGGGCCCAGGGAGGCCATCTGGGCCTGGCTCCCTGGCAGGGTGGACTCCATGGGCCACCCTCCACCCACTCACTCACTGGGAGGGCAGTTTGGGTGCTTGGGGCAAAGCTTCTTCCCCCACATCCTCCCTCCCCTCCTCTTCCTTGGTTTTCCCATAAGATCTATTCCCTGGATGAGTGAAGGAGTTTGGTCATTAAGCCCCCAGCAGTTTGAACCCACCCAGTGATCTCTTATAAAGATTACAGCTTAGAAAACCCTCTAGGGCAGTTCTACTCTGTCACATCAGGTCACATTGGGTTGCTATGAATGAGAATCAAGCAACAATTGGATGGACCATTCTTTGAGAATAAAAGAAGTAACAACAGCTATAGAAGAATCCAGGGTAGAGGGAGGGGTTGTAACCTTTATGTAGGCTGGGGGTGGCGGGGGGCTGGTAGATCAGGAGAGTTGGTGACACAGGAAAGAGGTGTGAAGTAAAGCAGTAGGGTTCCTGTGGATCCAAAAGTTGGGACCAGGGTTGAGCCATGGGCAGAGGAGGCAGCTCTTCCTCTGAGGCAGGAAGGAAAGAGGAAAGACCAGATATTGTGGACACAGATGAGTTTGAATAGGAGTTCCTTTCAAATTCATACAAATATAGGACTATTATCTATCATTACTTTTATTTAAAACATTTTCTTTCTTAAAAAAGCCATCTGTACATTAAATTTGTTTAATATATTCCAAAACCAATCCAAACTCACGATCATCAAGTTAAGTCCAACTCATAGCAAACCCCTTTGGGTTTCCAAGGTGGTAAATCTTTACAGAAGTAGATTGCCCAGTCTTACTCCTGCGGTGTGGCTGGTGGGTTTGAACCGCCAAACTTCTGGTTAGCAGTCAAATGCCTTAGGCACTATGCCACCAGAGCTCCATTTATATATTAGTAAAACATTATTTAGACATGGATCAAAACTTCCTTATCTCCTATAAAGTTTCTCTAACAGAATGGAAGGAAATAATTAGTTTGTGCCTAAAAAAAAAATCAATCTGCTCCCTGGATCCACTTCCCTACTGGGATCTTGGTCTAATCCAGTCACTTTCCTGGGAGCCTCTGGACATGTGTACATACAACCAGGCATTGCCCAGGGCCTGTGGCTTCCTCTCACTGTGCACAGCCAAGCTCAGGCTCCTGGGAGGGCTGCTATGGGGTCACTGAGCCTGCTCCCCAAAGACAGGACAGCAGTGGAGCCAGCATAGTCAGGGCTGGAGGGGCCCAGAAGGGAAAAGCGAAGGTGGCTATGGTGCTCCTGCCTCTGACTCTCCTCAGAAAGTGGCTTCTATGGCCACCCTTGACCTCGCGGGAGCCCAGTGTGAGAGGCTGAGAGACCACCATGGCAGGAAACACTCTTTAAGGTGAGGGCCACATGGGGTCAAGACAAACTGGCTCTGGGGACACATGACTCAGGCAGCCTCAGCTCCTAAGAGCAGCCATGGCCAAGGGGGCTGGAGGCAAGGGGGTCCCCAAGGGAGACAGAGCATTGACCCCTTGTTGACCCCTTCTGTCTGTGGTACCAGGCTGGGCAGCAGACCGGAGCACCACCTCCTGTTGGCACCATCAGAAGGGCAGTCTGAGATCTGGCTGCGAGCCCTGAGCAGTGTACAAGGTGGGTTCCAGGGGAAGATTGTGACCAAGCTCCATGTGCCACTGGTGTTTTATGCATTCATGGAAAGTTTTTACATCTAGCATCTCTACCCTGAGAGGTAGGTGTCTTTTTTCAGTCAAGGAATTTAAGGCCCAGAGAGGTTATATTACTTGTCCAAGACTACACAGCTAATTAGCAGGAGAGTTGAGGTCAGTGACCACCTGGCTGCCTCCTGGTACCACCCCACCCCCTTGGGAGTCTGCTTCTCTGACACCCCCTTGGATCCTCCTGTCCAAGATTTCCATGGATTCTGTTCCTCCCAGGACTTTCCTTGGCTCTGCTCTGTCGCATCCTCTCCAAGCTTCTCATCCCCAGGTGGCTCTGAATGCCTCCAGTGGCCAAGCCTGGTTCTACACGGGAGGTATACAAAGCACCTCTCTGACAACTTCCCCTCATGGCCATGGCCTGACAAGTCTCCAGGTGGAGGGAGTGTGTCCAGGGAATGTTCTGAGGCTGCTGGGGGCTCCACCCCTGACCGCTTCCCACCCCTCTGTCTCTCTGGATTTCTGGCTTCACTCCTCACTCTATCTCTGTCCCCTTGGTCCTTCCAGATCAGAGGCTCTCAGCATTTCAAAATTTCCCCATCTCCTCCAGGCTGAAACTATCATAGCTCAACCAAGTCTCAGTCTTGTAGGAGGCAGGGATACACTGGGGGATACTCCCTGGATGCCCAGCCTCCATTGCTCCACCACACGGGAAAGTCTTGATGCACATGGATCCTCAAAACCACACTCAGCCTCTGGAAGGCACGTGTGGAGTCAGACTTCCTGGGGCTACGTCAAGGCTGACAATTGTTCTTGCCCTGCCTTGCAGACCAGAGTTTGAGCCCAGAACTCCAAGCCAGGCCTCTCAGTCTTCTTGATAAGAGCACTGCTGAGAGGTTGCCCAGCACAGCCTCTCTGCTCAGGTAAGATAATATTGCGACAGGGGACAGGGTCCTGAGCTCCAGGACTGAAAAACTGCTGCCCTCCTAAGCGCATGGCCCTGAGACTGAGGATTACTCTGCTGGGGGGTGAGGTGATTCCCACAAGTGATTCCATCCACAAGCCCTGGGACATAAGAGAGCCCTGACGCCCATCCATCGTGTGCTAGCTCCTAACTCTAAGCTGCAATAGCAGGTTCTGGGCCAGGAGGGTCCCGTTCCGCAGATTCAACCACTGTCTCACCCAAGGGTTACTCTGCTGGAGCCCTCCCTACCCTCTTTTCCTTTCTCACTGTGTGTGTGTACATAAAACATCAGGCCCACACAGCCCCTCAAGTTCCCGCAGACAACTGGTCCTACCGAGAACAATGCACCTGGCTCTGAAGGCCTTTCCCACTCCAGCCAGACCCATGGTAAGGGGCATCCTGGGTTTCCCTTTGCCTGTTACTAGAAAGCTTGCTCAGATGTGTCTGCCTGGGACCCATGCAATCTGCACTCTCTACTTTCTCTTCTTCCAAGACAAAGCATTTGTTTGTGGGGGGCTGTCAGCCACCTCTGCACCTCTTGCTTGTACCCCTACTCTCTTCCACAGTCCCCTCCTATTTTCCCTATCTCAATACCTAGTCCCCTTCCAAGGGGAAAAGGGAACCTTACTGTCCGAGAGAAGCGCCAGGAGTCAGTGTCCAAGGACGGCAGAGATAATATTACCAGACCAGGGACAGGGAAATAGGAATGATGGGGAGATGTGTGGGTTAAAGTATGGGAACAAATGCCTCTCACTGGGTTCCTCTACCTCTTGGAGATCCTGCCATTGTGTGAATGCTCAATCATCTCACTGCATTCAGGCAGCTCTTTCCTACCACTGGGCATTGGGGCTATCTGGGTGAGGGGACACTTGGGGTTAGATGAAAACAGGGAGGGATTAGACAGGAAAATGTAAGTGAAGCCTTCACAGGCTCCCCCAGGCCCATGAAGAGCCGAGATCACTTTCTTAATCTCTAGCTCACACACACACATATACACATACACACACATACCTAACAGAAGCAGCCATGGTGATGGTCTCCGGTGAAATTATCCACATCCATGCACACGCCCATGAGGCCCATGGGCTCCATTTTATGAACCCAGTGATGTGAGGCCTTGACGTGGACACAGTGCCTTCCGAGGCTACTGGGACAGCCTTTTCTTCTGCTCTGTGACGTTCCCCCTGTGCCCAGTGCAAGGCCCGAGTTGCTTGGCCAGAGCAGACACATGCAGCAAGTTGGGTTGTAAGAATCAAGGCAGTTATCTCCCACCCCACACAACTGTGTGCTCCTAGTATCCGCTCCACACATCAATGCTACAAAGAAGTGGGTGTTGCAAGGGAGGCCAAAGGGCTGGAGCACGTGTGCCTAGAGAAGATTCTGGGGTGGCTAGGCCCTAAATTCGCTGTCTCCATTCTTCCAACAGATGTGGGCCCAGAAGTAAACCCCAAGGAGGCACCAAACCCCAGGGCTACAAGCAAGGACATCCTTTAAGAGACCCGAACAAGATTCAGCTATAGGTGCAAAGGTGTCCCTCCCCTGGCTGCTCAGACCCAGGCTCTGCCCAAAGCTAGTCCAGGCCCCTAGGACCCGTTTATTGAATAGACATTTCCTTATTAGCAGGTGGGCCCCTCCAACGTCAGAGCTGAAATTATGCTGTCATACTGGTCCCTTTCTCTGGCACATCTGGTGCTGGGTCTAGCCACTCCAACTTCGAGACAGGAAGCAGCCCTTCAACTGAGTCCTTTGCCTCACCCTCAAGGTGAGAGGACAGGCATGTTGGGTGTCATTGCCTGTGAGTCTGCTCCTCTGAGCAGGGCCTGGGTTACAGTAGCAGAGACCTCCAGGCCAAACTGCCCCTTTTACTGGTCACTTCCTGCTTGTAAAGGGTGGCACCCGGCACAGGAAAATGTGGGTGTGAGCCCAATGCCCAGCTCTTCAGGGGAAGTTTACACTGACTGGCTGGCTCTTCATGGTGCCCGGGGAGATATTTCACTGGTTCTTTAAAACTAATCTTTGCAATGTACAATCAAGAGCCTGTAATGACATGCCCCCTTTTAGCAGCAATGACAGATAATCTCAGGTAACACTACATGTTTGTATGAGCCTCTGTAATGTATAAAGTGAGCTACCGCACTTGCACAACTACTCAAGGGAGCAAGGAAAGGAGAATAAACATAGGGCATAGGGCTTTGAACTCTCCCATTAGTACAGTCATTACTGCTCTGGGCTCCAGCCACCTTCACCCCCCTCCACCCGACTGACACAGAACCTCTGCACCCCACATCTTCCCCTTGCTTGATGAACAGGGCTGCTCTGGCCCACTCCATGGGGACGAGGGACAAGCTGCATCCATAGCAGCAGCTGTAAGGTGGCTGGACCTCACTCTTGGCCTCCAGGAGGAGGAAGGAGCTCAGCCCCTCTATTAAAAGCCCTGAACCTGCCAGGGGCCTGGTGCCCAGAATGGACTCTGTAATAGGGTTGCTGGCAGCTTGAGCCCCACACCATACCCAAGGTATCCTGGGCATCCTTGGTAGGGACCCCAGAGGAGTGGGAGACATGACGGGGTCATCCAAGCTCCTAGAGGCTCTGGAGCACCTGGGGATGGCTCCTGCTTCAACTCCAATGGAGCAGCCAGGCAGAACTGGAATGAGCCTGAAACAGAGGCAGGGGTGAGGGCCAGGCTGGAACCCCATGCCAGGGCTGCCCATCCTGCCATCAGTCACTTGGGCCCGTGCCGCCTGCGCTGCCTTCTCCGCTGCACAGCCTCACGCAGGGCTGCCAGCAGCAGCTCCTGGTTGTTGCAGATATTGTAACGTGTCAGGCCGAGCAGCTTGTCCACGTCCTCCTGGCTGTAGGTCATCTTCGTGTAGTGGTAGGGGGAGTTGGATGGAGACAGGTTCACCTGCCCTGCCTCCTGCTTCTCGGGTGTCCTAGGGACCCCTGTGCAGAGAAAGTGCAGCCTGGGCATGGAGGGGCAGGTACTGGGGTGGAGGATGGGTCTAAGGTCATCTGTGGAGAGGTGGGGGAGGTGTGACAAGGGGCAGGGGCCGGGACACTAGGAGATCGAGATGGCTCACCAGGGGCTGAGTGCTCCCGGAATGAGTCATTGACCAGTGGGAAGTGCAGAATGACAGGGGCCTCAGGAAAGTTGGGGTCTGAGAACTTGTGGCACTCCCGAGGCTGCTGCTCCTCCTCTGGGCTCGGCGAGATGGGCGGGAATGGGATTCCCTGTTCCCGGCAGAACCGGTCCACGAGCTGCAACTGCTGCAGGGACCACAGAAGGGGCATCAGTGGGATGCTCATGGGGCTTGTTATGTCCTCAACACCAGACTGCATGAATATAGAGCTTCACTAAAAACTTAGTGCCTGACAGGTAATCAAAGACTCTCCATGGACCCAGCAAAGTCAAGTCAGACTTTAAGAAAGGCTCTAAGCCTGGACAGTCCTTCTGCTGCAGCTCACTGGGGGTTCTGCCGAACTGAGCTGTCAACAATCATTGGGGTCTGAAATGGGAAGACAAAAGTCCCTTGCTAGATCAACACAGAAACTAAAGGAGGAGATACCAGAGGTCTACAACCAGCTGGGGTACAGATGCAGCAAAGAGGACCCAAATACAAAATACATATGATAACCTGCTTCCCCATCACTCCAACTTCCTGGAGCAGAATAAATTCCTCTCATGGTGAAAGAATAAAACCTGGTGTTTCATTCACATGTCACTGTCCTAGCTCCTAAAAGAAGCTTCAAGGTCTCCTCATGGGCCTGGAAACCATGGAACAAGCAAATGAGGCCAGGCCAGGCCTGGGGTTGCCTACCACCTCCCATCTTGGCCTAGTGTCCCAGGTGCCAATTGTCCAGCAAGAGCTCCTGCTGCCCTGCCCCTACCTGAAAGGGTCCTTGGAGGTTGTAGTCAAGGGACAGGATGAGGTCCACATCCCGCGTGGGCTGCAGGAGGGGCGGGCAGCTGGTGTTGACAAAATAGCCGACATCCAGCAGGCAAAGGTGAGGCTCCACAGGTGTCAGCTGGTTAGGGAATCCATCCAGCTTGGTGGCTGGAAAGGTATAGGGGATAGGGTGGAAAAGAGGCAATTGTCACTGGTGCTGAGGGCATCAGACTCCTCTGGCTAAGCACAACTGTTTGCTCTGCTGGAAAGACAGACTTTGCCCTCTGGCCTCTGTTCCCTCCTGCTGAAGCAGCCCCTCCACTGACCACAGCACTGCAGGCAAGCCCTATATCCCCAGCACAAGGAAAGGGAAGAGGCCTTGGGATCAGGAGCTCCACTCCAAGCATCCCATGGGACCAAGCTTAGAAGGTTTGGTGCCAAGAAGGAAGACGTGGGAGTAGAGAGAAAAAGTGCCTGGATCCAAGACCCAAGGGAAGACTTTGGAGAGCTGGGACCAGGGCAGAAGAGCAGGTACCTTTCCAGGTGGAGAAGTGAGGGTGCTGGAAATAGTCTTTATGGAAATGGAGGCCACGCAGGAAATTGTGGGTGGCCTGGGCAAGTGGGCGCCGAGTCAGGAGGTCAGTGAAAAATTCTGCTATCCTTCTAGTCATGCTGGGTGGTTCTTCTATCTTTAGAATCGGGACTTGCTCCTTGTCTGCTCAGCCAGGAGAGGTGGGGGAGTGGGGCATCCTTCAGCAAATGGGGACCACTGGACCTTTATCTCAGCCTCTATGCCCAGCAACTCTGGAGGGGGAACAGCTGAGACCTCCAAAGGCCTGGGAGCCATCCCCCACCCCCAACATGGCCCCAACTGGCTGCCCCCTTTGTATCCTGATGAAGGAGCCCAAGTACCTACCCAAGCCGGCCTGACTCTGAGCCCAGCGGTCCCAGAACTGGCTGGGATCTGAGGACCAGTATAAGCTGTCCTGGAGGCTGGCCGCATACAGGTTGGTCCAGATACCTGGGAGAGTGGGCCCCCATCCCTGTCACAACCTGACCCTTCCCCAGTGCCTATCCTAGCCCAGAAAAACATCTTACTTATAAGAGCCAGGTAGTTGAGGGCCCACCAGCTGTCCCAGACCTATCTGCCCCTCTGGCTCTGGTTTCTCCAGCCTCCCAGATCCCCTTACCTTCCAGGAAGCAGATGCGGGACTCAGGGAGCCGCTTCATCAGCCGCCCCATGAAGAATTCAGAGCCAAAGAGCTCGGAAGGGATGAAGGCCCCATACTTGGGGAAGCCAACCTCGTAGGGGGAGAACTCACACCATTCTGTGAGGAGACCACACACCCTCAGCTTTAGGGCCCAAGCCTGAGGATCCTGAGACACCAACCACCCACATAGGTTCCACACAGGACAACCTGGTGAGGAGGTGGCTCAGGCCTTACTTCCTTGGGCATGGGGCCTGAAGCCCTTGACCTGTTTCAGAGCCCAAGTGACTCTGGGTTATGGTTAGGGTTGACAACATCTGGACTCATGGGACCTGGGGCAGAGTTTAGGGAGATGGGTATAAAAATCTTTCCTCCTACACACAGGTCCAGTTACCTCCCTCCCTGCCAACCGCAAGAACACAGGGTTCAGCTCCTGGGCTACTCACCTGCAAATTCAAAGGTGGACAGGTTCTGCTCCTTGGTGTTGAGGGCACAGTAGATGGGCAGAGGGTTCTGGCCGTGACTCAGGGCCTCTCGCTGATCTGAGAGTTTGTGGTCATGGGGCTGGGGGGGAAAGATGACTTGAACCTAAGCCCATGTTCTGGTGGTACTCACAGCCTTTTCTTCCCACCCTGTTGCCCAGTGCTGCTTCACACCTTTAGGCCTGGCACTGGCTTTGCCCCTCCCCGCAGGAAGCCCCTTCCTATACCCCATTGTGCAGCAATGCTTCGTTGATGAGGGCCCATAGATTGGTAAAGCAGGCTGGGTAGCCCTGGCGGGAGCACTCAGCCAACTCCTGCTGGTACCGCAGCAGCTGGTTGGGGGCCAGCACGCTCAGCTTGCTCTTGGTCACTTGGGTCTTCAGCAACTCAGTGGGCCCTGCCAGGTCCTTCTGAGACCACTCTGGATCTTCATAGAGGTTGGCCAAGGTCCTAAGCAAAGTCAGTTGGTGGGAAGTCTGTCACTCAAGGACTCTATCCAGACCTCACACCCCTTAGGCTTTCTATTCCAGGGCAATAGCCTGGCAGGCAACATACTAGAAAGTCAGAGCCAGGTCTGAGGCTAACTCTCAGTGGAGAGAGCAAGCCCCCAAGGGACCTTTGAGACTGTATGCATCCTCCTGGCCCTTCTAATCTGGTCAGAGGGGCCAAGAAGGCTTTACAGATCCTTACCACACATACACCACCACTATCTGATTCACCACCCCCATTCTTGCACTCAAGCTGCTCACCAGGTGGAGCCAGAGGCACTTGTGATGTAAGAGATGCAATCCAAGAGGCCCAGCTCCCTCAGGCCGGCCAGCTGCCCATACAGCGAAGTCATTGCCCGGAACCCTCCGCCGGTGGCCATAACAGCTACCACTGGAACCTGGAGGAGAGCACAGCCATGCTCAGAGAGGCCTTAGGGATTTAGGGAGAGTTGGAAGGCCAAGCCACAGGAAAAGAATGTGGTAAGTCCAGTGCCCATTCAGCTCTCTCTACAGCTAAGGCTGGTCAAAGTCTGGTCAGGGTCCTTGGACCAGGTCTAGGTCAGCCCAACTGAGAAGAGTCTTGTCAGAATAGCCTCCCTCACCAGGGTTTGGTCTTCTCAGGTTTTAAGAACTCTAAAAAGAACAGACCAGATAAGTCTAGGCCTTATCTCCTCACCTCCAGCCCTTGAGGAATATGGAGATCAGTTTCTAAAACCTCTAGGGCTACCTCAAAAGCCCCCTATATAGCCATCCCTCCCTGTTTTGCAAGGAGAGGTCATTTCCCTGGGAGACAGCCAAGGCCAGCAGACAGCTCTTGTGCCAGATGTCCAGTGATCCCTCAAATAGGGCCCAAGCCAAGGGGCCTGGCACCAAGCCAAGGGACAAGAAACAAAGAGAAGGCAAGCTGCCCTGGAGTGTGTGTGTGCATTGAGGGAGTGGGGGTATGTGTGTGGGGGGGTACCTCATGCAATGCTCTATACCCTTCAAGCGCTTGATAATACTGGGGAAGCAAAAGCAGAGCTTGGGCAGGCAGATGAGAAGCAGGCACAAGCCCAGCTTGGCAACAGCCCTGGTCTGGTTATGGAACAGACCGAGGCCCATCCAGTTCAGCACTCAGCACTAGGCTCTGGTCCCAAGCAAACCTGAGACCCCCACCCTCCAGCCCAGCCTCCAGACCTCATCCTCCTGCAGGTCTCCTTCCAACTGCAGGGCCTGCTGCAGGGCCTTGGCCACCACCTGCTTCCTCCTGCTCAGGAAGGCCTGCTCCTCGGCGCAGGGCCTGCAGCCCAGCCGCACAGCCAGCTCCCCTGATCTGGGGTGGGGAAGAAGGGACCATGCGGCAGTGCTCAGCCTCGTTAGAGAGAAGGAAGCTGGGTCTGCTTCCCTCAGGTCCCATTTCCACCTCTCCTCTTCTCTGCTCTCCTCCACCCAGCACTCCCATCATTCCTGTATCCTGAGAAGCCTAACACCTGTGGAGTTGAGGGAGGGAAAGTGAACCAAGACCTCCACACAGATACACTTGGGAATACAGCAAAGCCAACTGGCAGGACAAGGGATCATGGTGACTAAGACCCTGCACAGGACCCAACACCTGGTCAATCCCACCTCTGAGCCTCAGGTTCTCCCCCTTACCCTGCCACGTCTGAATATGACTACAAAGGGCATGGAAAAGAAGGAACAAATGTCTCTGGTCTGGGATTCTTACTCTTCCAAACACATAGAAGGCCAGAGTGGGCAACTCGTCTTATTTCATGAAGGCTAGTTAAGGCCCATCCACACAGCTTCCACCCAAAAGGATACAATTTCCCACTTCTCTCTTGGTCTCCTTGCCTTCTTTGTGCCTCAAACCATGACATTCTCCTCAACTTTCCAGCCAAACATATATCAAGTGCTTCCCAAGTGCCAGGCCCTGGAAAAGGCACACACTCCTCCGGTGAAAGCAGACACGCAAGTTGAAAGATTAAGAAACTTTCTGTTCTGAGCACCCTCCCAGGACCACGTGTGCCATCCCATGACCAAACCCTGGGATGTCCCATTTCTCCCTGTTGCTCTTCCAGGCCTGCCTAACGTCATGCCCCCTGCTTGGCGGCTTTCCCACCTGACCTTTCCCATCCCCCAGTCCAGCCTCTCACCCTTCTTCCTTTTTCACCTCCACCTTCATCAGGGGCTCCTGAAAAGCATGAATGCTCCAGTCACAAAGGCAGGCCAACTCCATTCCTCTCTCCTTGGCCCTAGCCACAGCCTGTGATGTCCCCATGTTCCTCCATTAGGCCCTAACCATCTCCATGGGGATGCTCTCCCAAGAGGCCAGCCCAGGAGCTTGTCCTGCATCCAGCCCTTTTCCTCTAGGTGACCAGTACCTGGGACGTAGGGAAGACAAGCTTCAACACCTGGCCCGGTGGCAGAGCCTTCAGTGGCACCTTCAGTTGCTCTTGGGGGGCACTCTACAGGGTGACAAAAGAAGTAGACCTGAGAGTCTCTGTCCTTGCATGTCTATCAAGTACCTCACTACATCCCCCTGGAAGAATAACCAAAGAGTGGCAGGAAGGGACACAGGGCAGACACCCACCCCACACTCTTCCCTGAGTGCCTGAGTCTGGAAGAGGGGGCTCTGAGGGTGAGCAGAGGGACAGGCTAGAGGAGGGCAGGTTTGGGGGCCCCAGCCCATGGGAGCGAGGCACACCACCTGCAGACGGATATTCAGCTCTTGCTCCCAGCAGGTTGGGAAGTGGAAGCAGAAGGAGCCGCTGCCCACAGAGGCCTCCTGGGGACCCTCACAGGATCCGGGAACCACAAGTTGAACTTTGCTCTCTGACTCTGGAGATAGGAACCAATGCTAGGAATGGGATCCCTGCCCACAGGTGTACCTCCCCCCCTCTGGACCAGGTAGAGGCTGGGAGACAGTGCCCCCACCACAGCCCCCTGAGGACTAAGGTGAAAAGCCCAATCTTGGGAAGTTCTGTCAACCTCTACTCCCACTTTTGGGAACTGAAGGCAGCTAGTGTAAGGTTCCCTCCAGACTAGCAGCTTAGAAAGGGGAAAGACAAGGGCTGAGGGCCAGGACTATCCCAGTGGGCTAGGGCACTCACCCTTCTGGTCCCCTGCCTCTTCCAGTCGCACATGCAAGCAGGAGAGTTCCCGGGCCTGAGTTATGAAGATAGCCCTCAGACAACAACCTCCCCTGCTCAGGTATCCACACCCTGGTTCCTGTTCCTTAGCATGTCATTACCCCAGCCCTACATTACTGGATGTTCCTTGAGATTGTATCCTCTTGAGGAACTGAAATCCCAGGGTCCCCCAAACTTAGCTCTATCCCCTGACCCAGGCAGGCTTGAGGCCCTGGGAGAGGACAAGCAGATGGCATGAGGGAGGGATCCCCTTGGAGTGCTCAGTCCACCTTCGAGTGCTGTCCCAGACTCACCACCAGAATGCCATTGCTGACAAGCTGCTCTGCACAGTCTGTCCTGGAAAGAGCCCAGTGAGCCTCACGTGAGTCCAAGCTCTCATCGCCAGGGAGGCCTGAACAATCCTCTCCAACCATTGGGTGTCTCCCAGGGAAGGGTGCCACCTCTGAGAGCACTGAGCTCTTTCCTTCCACCCTGGAATACCCCTGCGGCCCCTGACTCACAGACTCTGCAGTCGAAATTCAACTTCCAGCCGTTCCTCACCCTGGAAAGGAAAGAAGCAAGTTAGAAAAGGGTGAGAAGTGTGAGTATGAGTGTGTAAGTGTATGTATGCACGCATGTATATGAATGTGTATGCATGTGACTGTGTGTCTTTGAGTGTGTCTATGCATATGTTATTGTGTGTATGTGTAGATTCCAAAAAGACACCAGCTAGGGGTGCTGAGGCGTCAACAAGAAAGGAAATGGTAGGGGAGGGCCATTGTCCATCTATAGGTTGCTCTGTCCACATTGTCTGGACTGCTCCAAGAAAGCTGTCCCTTGGCGCAAAATCAAACCAAACCAAAGTCACTACCATCAGTCGATCCCGACTTACAATGACCCTCACTGGGTATCTGAGGCAGTAAATCTTTACAGAAGTAGATGGCCCCATTTTCCTTCTGCGGAGTGACTGGTGGCTTTGAACCACCAACCTTCTGGTTAGCAGTTAAGTGCTTTAGGCATTGCATCACCAGATTCAAGGGCCAAGAAATGACAGGAATGAGACTGCTCCTCCATGGAAAAACCAAAAAAACCAAACTCACTGTCGTGGAGTCAAATCTGACTCATAGTGACCCCTCCTTGGGTTTCTGAGGCAGTATCACTATTGGAAGTAGATTGCCCAACCATCCTTCTGAGGAGTGGAAGTAGCTGACAAAGGCCCCTGGGGACCAGGCGAGCCTGGACCACTTGGAGTTTGGTAAAAAAAAAAAAAATTCTCTGAAGGAGAAAGGCATTTACACATCTCCCCATCCAAAGCACTTCCCTTTCCCAGTGCTGAAGTTGAAAGCTGTGAAAGACCCTGAAGCCCAGTGCCTTCAGCTGCCCTGAAATCCAGTCTTGCCTGAGGGCTTAGTGAGAAGCTCTGGCGTCTGAACTCCCCAGCCCGCAGAGTCCCTGTGTCAAATAGCACCGACAACACGGGGTCATCTTTGGTCAGCAGATCCTGGTCAAAGACTTTCAGTTCCACCACGTTCTGGAAGGAAGACAGTGAGAGGCTGCAGGAATGAGAGGGAGGACAGGACAGTGAGCAGGGCAAGAGCTGGGAGGGGACAGTGAGCAGGACCAGATCAAGGCAGGCCCACCTTGAGCTGCCTGTGGATCCGGAAGTGGAAGCTCTGATTCCAGATGGGGCTTCTGCAGTTCTTGACTGTGCGTGTCTGCAGTCTGTGGCTAGAGGCCGTGGGCAGCCACAGAGTCACATAGCAGTCAGAGGGGGTCACTGCAGGCAGAAGGAACCACCACCCAATGATGGCCAAGAGCCCCTCTTTATCTCACCCTCCTAGAATCCACTATCACAGGGAGCCCTGGAGACCTATGGATGGAGGATCTGGCAAGAGCAGAGGCAGAGCCCTGACCTCCACCCTCCCCCAGTCTCTCCCCTCAGCACCCTCTTCCCAGCCCTACTTGCCTCTCCTCCCACTGTCCCTGCCCTACTCTGAATCCAGCTGCAGTATGGTTCTCCTCCCTCAGCCTAGACTCACTCAGGTCCCTGGAGGGCAGGCCATGGGCCTGTATGACACGAATGGTGAGCAGGCAGGTCCCCGGTACCTTGGCCTGCAGAGGAGGGAGGAGGGAAAGGTTTGCTACAGGCTGACAGAACCGAAGACGACAGGGGATGGAGGCAGGTAGGCTGGGGCAACTCTAAGGCCTAACCCTGCACCAAAAGGATCAAGGCCAACCAGCCACAGCCCTGCCCTCCACCCCATCAGAATCCTCAGTCTACAGAAAATACAGCATTTCCATAATATCTTACATAATATCCCATGCCAGGTTCTGTTCCAAGGATTTTACACACATTAACTCATCCATCACAACAAACCTGTACAACCCTTGTGATAAGCCTCACAAGCAAGCTTGGGGACTGAGACAAAAAAAGTAACTTGCCCAAGGTCCAGAACTAGGACTAGAACCCAGGCAGGCTAGCTCCAGATGTACTCTCAACTCCCACACTTACCTGCTTGCATCTCTTGGGCACAGTATCCTTCAATCTTTCTACCTCATACCCCCAGTCCACACTCTTGTTAAGCAGCTTTGAGGCTGGTCTTGGGAGGCAGAGGTGAGTGGAGTAAGATCACAGAGGGAAAGGAAAAGGCCTATCAGGGCCTAAGGCCTTGCTCCCTGAACTCTTCACCCCTGGTCAGGGGATATTTCTGGAAATGAGCTCTCTGCTAGGGTAGGTTTAGCAATTACCAGCTCAGGTGGCCCACAAGTTGCCAAGTCCTAGCCCCTCCCGGGTTCCATGAGGTCAGGACAGTGATGGTTTCCTGTAGGCTCCATACAAACCAACCCTGGTTTCTGGGATATAGCCTCTGCCAGATATGCCGGGGCAGAGAAGCCTAGGCCAACTAGGCCTCCCTTTGGCCTCCAGCTCTGCCACAGGAATGCCCCTGATGGATGGAGTCCAGGGAGCTTCTGGGTGGAGGCAGAGCCCAGGAAGCTCATCCATCTGTGTCAGCCTCCGGCTCCCACACCCCCAAGCAACTGAGTCAGAAGGAGCTTGAAATGGCCACTTCTCTCTGGAACTACAGGAGAGCAGCCGGGAGCCTCCCATGGTGCCTGGGAGTGGTATGGAGCCCACTGCTAGGGCAGGAAGACCTTTCAGATGGATCTCCAGACTGGGACCCTCCCCCTTCTCTGGCTTCTGCTCACTGTCCTGGCCAAGGCTGGCAAATACCCTCTGCACCTGAAGAAGACCCCAGCTTCAGCCTCTCCCGAGAAACCGTATTAACCAGGGTTGGGGTCAAGGGTCAGAGTAGGGCCCAGTACCCTGCTGGCCTTACCAGAGCCATGAGGCTGGCAATCCTCAGAGGTAAGGAATGGCAGGCAGTGGCCGCTGGACTGAGGACTGTCGGATTTTTAACTGAGATCCAGGGGTGTCCCGGCTTGCTTCCTTGGTCCCTCCCACCCGCCTCTTGTGCTCCACCCAACCCTCACACCCACTTCACAACCAGCCACCTGTCCAGGAAATGAGGCACCTCAGCCTATACCGGAGCCACTGACACCCTTGTGTGTGGGCTCAGTGTCTCCCCGCCCCTGCCCCAGGTGTCTGGAAGACCCATTTCTCCCAGATAACACCACCCGGGCCTACCCTTCCTGGCCTTGACCTCCCTCCCAGGCCTGACCTGGATGAGGTGGCTCCCAGGCAACTTTGCTGTCAGAGGCTGAACAGAATGAAAAGGAAGGTGTACCTTGAATGGCCTCTGACGTCTGGAAAGCAGAGGTGGGCTTTCAGAGCAGGGACCAACAGAAGAGCTGAGACCCCCATCAACAGTCCCCTCTTTCCCAACCTCCTGGCACCAGTATGACAGGAATGCCAAGTCTTGACTGATGCACTGGGCCAATCCAAGAGAAGCACTCCAAGCCTCATCATCATCTGGCAGGGGAGTGGCTCTGTTACATAAAACAACCCTTCAAAGCCAGGAGCTGGGCTGCTTCCATCCTCAGACATGGGTGCTAGGTGGCTGGGATGAGGCCTCCAGATTGGTACTCAGAGAAAAGGGGACTCTTCTGTCTCCGGAGCCCAGCTTATAGGGGTTGGGAGTGAGTCAAGTGAGGAAACCAACTTCTTCTGCAGCCCAGGAAGCATAGGTGCTTCTGTCCCCTCCTACCTGTGCTAACTGCAGGAGAAAAAGGGAGTCATCCCAGGACACCAACCCCACCAAATACCCTGGATCTGGGGGAAGAAAGCAAACAAGGCCAGGGCAAAGCTAGGGATAGCTTTACAGGCCCTAAATCAATCGGGTGCAGGCCAGACAGTTAGAACAGCAGAGACCAGGGTCTGCCTGCCAGCCCGGGGAGGGGCTGTGTTGGTAGTCACAGATAGAGCTTCTCAGGCCAAGGTCTGGACCAGGCCCTCGCCCTCTATTAGGGTCATTCTGAAATTTTTACCTGAATCTTCAAGCCCTCACCAGACCACAGAAGGCAGCTTCGAAAGAGAGTATCACAACCTATGAATCACTACCTTTTATTGAGCATTTCCTCCATGCTGGCCCATACTGGGGCCTTACAGATACCATCTCCAGGCCTCACAACAGCCCATGAGGTAAGGACCATTATTATCTTTGTTTTACAGACAAGGACACCAATGCTCTGAGATGCAGTAGCTTGCCCAAGGCCACTGAGCTGCTGAGAGGCGGTGCTAGATCTGAAGCCCCACTCCTCCCTGTGATAGGCCACTGCATCATTTGTGTGGCAACTTTCCGGGAACCTTCATCCAGATCTGGCTGGCACTTCCTGGTCCTCCTGATCTTACCCTGAAAGTCTCCAAAGCTGATCTCAACCCAGTTCGGGCCCTGGGCCAGCAGCCGGTATGCACACAGCCTCCAGGCTGTCTCTTGAATCAACCTGGCCCTAGAGAGGCCTGACTGTTCCCTGAGCTGTGGGTGACAGTGTGCACTGGGGCTCCTCTAGTTGAGGCCTGAGGCCTTGGTGAGGGAGTCAAGCAGTTGGAAGTAACTGTACCTGAGGTCATACTCCATGTCATACCAAAAATTAACTGTGGGGAGAACAGAGCATGAGTGGGGGGCTCCCTCTTCTAACCCACAGAGCCTCCCCATTGGCCGAGGCCATGCAGCTCCTTACCAGCAATGCAGCCATGGGACTGCTGGACATGGTGGAACCAAAGGGCCGGCAGGTAGAGCATCTCGCCGGCCTGCACAGTACAGCGAAGGGCCTGGGCCTGATGGTATCTGGGGTACCGGGCTAGATCTGGTGCCAGGGGGTCCAGTGGGATCCAAGGCACCTGGGGACACACCAGGGCCAGGGGACAGGCCCCAAGGACCCCTCAGGCTCTGTTTTTTCCAAAGGTAAACCCCACCGGTCCCTCTCCACTCAGCCATGAGAAGCCCCAGATTTCACGAGTTTTCAAAGAAAGGTGCCACCTTCCCAGATCTTTCATGCCCGCTTCTCAGAGCCCAGGCTCTCCCTGTCCTCATCCTCAAGACGTGAAGCTCACTCCCTCCTGGGACCCCAGGAAAAGATAAACACCTTCTCCATGGCCTCTTCATCCACCATCTTAAAGGTGCCCTCTTCAGTGAGCTGGTAGGTTGCTGGTGTGTACAGCTCTAAAACCAGAAGAGTGGGGGACCCCAGCAGATAGTGTTTCCAACAGCTCCCCACACATACCTCATCCCAGCCACTCCCACTGGCCCCTGAGCCTCTGGGAAAGGCCAGAATCCTACTGAAGTGGAGATGCTGTGTCCATGCTATAGGCCTGGGGCACCCTCTCTACCCTCGCTGCCCTCCCTCTGGCTCAGGTCACCTGCTTCCCAGCAAGCCACGTCCCCTACCATAGGGGATGAAGGGTCGGTCACTGGGTGGATGTAACAGGAAGTGTTTCTCTCCCGAGATAACACAGTAGAGGTTCTCATAGTGGTCCTTGTGTACTGCCAACACAAAAAAAGGCCCCGAAGGCAGGGTTATAAGGTAGGTGAGTCAGGAGTAGGCAAACCTAGCTCAGAGCCTTACGCCTCAAGCTGATGGTGCAAAAGAAGGGCACATCAAGAGTCAAAGTGTGTCCTAAAATAATCTTTAAACCTTAAACCAAAAGTATTCCCTGAAGTCTTCTTAAAACTAAACAACAGTTCACCTTAACTAGTGAAGAATGCCTGCCTTGAGCATTGAGCTCCTTTAAGATCTATCTATATGGGATCAAACTGACAACAGCATCTCCAAAGAACAGACAGGAACCTTAGGGGACAGTACATTTATGTCAATGGGGGAGGAACAACTCAGAAAAGGAGGGTAAGAATGATAGCACAACTCAAAGATGTAAACAGTGGCAGTGAATTGTGCATATAAAAACTTGGTGTATCTTTTTGCTGTGTATATTCTCAACAACAACCAAAATTTAAAAAAAAAGTTAAAACAAACTCAAAGTGATGCCAAAGAGTTGGCAGGCATTTGGATCTCGGCCACCAAGGACTTGATACATGCCAGGCTCTGGGTTTCTCTCTACCAGGAAGTGAATTCCATGACACACTGTTCTCCTAAGTTCACCTCCCAACCTACTTGATCTTCTGAGAGCCTTCTAAGGACCTAGGAAAACCAGTACATCCCGCCCTCAATGCCACTCCACCCCCAACATCACCCCATCTCAGCTTGCTAGGCAAATGGTGCCTGAGTCCCAGAATCCCAGGAAGAATCTTAGATGCAGTTGGGCCCACTCCTCTCCAGGCCCAACCTCCCATTCTTGGCCTCATCTTCCCTCCTCCCTGTCTTTGTATTCCCCTGATACCTACAAGATGTCACTGCAGCTGCCTCCCCCAGCCAGAAGTTCACAGCATCAGGCATCTTTCCTGTAGGTCAGAGGAAAAGGGGTGAGTTAGGAGAGGGTGTATCCTTCAGGCCAGGCTGGGGATAACTGCCCTATGGGGATGCTGGGGCACAAAACTGGGCAGAAGCAAAGGGGCCCCAGGGAAGACAGCTGGGGAGGACAGAGTTGGGGAGTTTGGGGTAGGGACCTACCCTCCCTGAGGCAGGAGAAAGGGTAACAATTTCCAGTAGTTTGTCTACTATCATGTTAATTAAGGCCTGAGGATTTGAGCTTTTAGTAGGCAGTGCCTGACCCTATGCAATCTACTTCTGTAGTGATACCCCCTAGGAAACCCAAGGAGGGGTCACTATGATTCAGTCGGTTGGACTTGAGGGCACATAACAATAACCACCACCTGACCCTATGGGGCCAAGAGTGTGTGGCCAAGTCATCATCAAAGGGAGAGAAGAAGCAACCAGGGCTGATCCTTTCTTCTTCCCATAGCTCCCCTGCCCTGCTCCTGAGTCAGAGATTGCCTCTTGCCCTGCCTCCTCCACTCACCCAGTGCCTCGGAGGCCCAGGGCACATGAGGCTCCAGGTCAGGCAGCAGCTGGGGCAGCTCAGTGGGCAGGTTGGAGCACTGCTTCTGTACGTAGAGAACTCCGGGGTGCCGGGCCCTGCCCTCCAGCACATCCAGCACCCTGCTCAGCGGCAGGAGGCGCTCCGCGGGCATCACAAAGCGGTCTCCTCGCACGGCATCTGCATAGCCGTCTGGGGTCACAGCCACACTCACCTCTGTGGAGCCTACTGTGGCCCTGGAAGAATGGACATTCAGGCCATGCCCAGATGCCACAAAGCACTGCCCGCCACCCCACCCCAGGACAGCTCCCACCTCAGGTAGGGGAATGACCACTTCTGGAGGGCTGGCCAGTGCTGCAGAGCGTTGTGGATGATGCAGGGCCTGTTGGGGCAGACCCAGTCTCGATAGAAGTGGAGTGGAGTAGGGGGCTCATCCAGGTAGGGCACAGACAGAGGCACGCTGAGCTCTGAGAGAGAGGGGATGGGTGCTGACACCAACAGCACCCAGCTCCTGCCCTGCCACTATGTAAGAGATGGCCTTCCTGGGAAGGCCACACTATATCATTAAGCAATGCTCACTGGTGAATGACCAAGAGACCCTGGACAGCCAGGAATCGAAGACAAGGAAGAAAAGTTAAAGAAGAAAGCATGAAACACACACAAATACTCCAGAATGGACCCTAAGAGCACACAGGGCCCGGGGCTCCTGCTCAGCCCATAACTCAAATCCTCCACAGGGATAGGCTGAGCCATGCTGTGGACCCTTAGCTTCCCCCACTTGGGTGTGGCCAACCTCCCAGCATTGCTCAGAAAAGCACTGGAGCAGTGCAGGGAGCTCCAGAATGAGTAGAGCTGAAGCCCAAGGCCACGGGCTGGTCTGGGTGGGGCGTGGCCCTGGATCACTTTCCAATAGCGAAAATTTACTGAATATTCTGAAATGTGCTTAGCACTTGGCTTGCCCAGTGTGGAGGTATAACCTCAAGATACAACCTAATTGGGGAGGCAGACTATCAGACAAAACCTTTGGGTCTTACTGAACAGTATTGTGCAATGCATAACCTGTATGGATGTATGGATGTTTGTAGTGGCACCCTTATTTTCCTTGTTTTTAAAGTGAACATTTACAGCAGGTAGGTACACTCCTTAGAACAATCAATCATGGGAGATCAGAAGGGCAGTATTTTTACAGAGTAATAGCTCAGGGGGCAGAAGTGCATAAGAAAGAAGGACACAGGGAAGAGGTAACCACAGGGAGAAAGTGGGAAGAGATTATGGGGAATGCGATCAATGTCATGAAACAAAATATGTATGAACTGTTGTATGGAAAATGAATTTCCTCTGTAAACTTTCACCCAAATCACAATTAAAAAAAAAAAAAAATCACTTATTTTTAACACATCCTTCTTCCTCATTCCTGTTATCCTATTGGTTGTCTCTATTGATTCTACCTCTAAATGTCTCTCAAACCCACCTTCTTTTTCTCCTCCACATTCAAGCTACCTCCTTTGAGTTTTCACTCAAATGTCACTTCAGGAAGGCTTCCTTCCCTGGCTATCCTTCTTCAACTTATAAACTGCCCTTCAACAATCTTTATTTAAAAAAAAAAAAAAACAGTTGCCATTGAGTTAATTCCAACTCATGGTGACCCATGTGTGTCAGAGTGGAACTGTGTCTGACAGGGTTTTCAATGGCTATGACCTTTTAGAAGTCAACCACAAGGTCTTTCTTTCAAGTTGACTCTGGGTGGATTCAACTAGTAGCTGAAGGATTCAACCTTTCAACTAGTAGTTAAGCACTTAACCATTTGCAACACCCAGAGATTCCTAAAAATCCTTATATCTCTGGAATATTTTGTTGTTCTCCTTATCACTTATTACCATCTAACACATGGTGGCATAGTGCCTAAGGCATTTGACTGCCAACCAGAAGGTTGGTGGTTCAAACCCACCAGCCACTCCATTGAAGGAAGATGGGACAATCTACTTCTGTAAAGATTTACTGCCTTGGAAACCCAGTGGGTGTTGCTATGAGTCAGAATCAACTCGCTGGCAGTGGGTTTGGTTTTAGAGTAATACACTATGTAAGGAGCCCTGGTGGTATAGTGGTTATGCACATGGCTGCTCACTGATCAAAAGGTCGGTGGTTCAAACCCACTAGTCACTGTGCAAGAGAAAGTTGTGGCAGTCTGCTTCTGTAAAGATTACAGCCTTGGAAACCTTAGGGGGCAGTCCTACTCTGTCCTATAGGGTTGCTATGAGTTGGAATAGATTCAACAGCATTGGATTTTGTAACAGGTTAACATGCTAACTATTTTACTTATTTAAATTGTTTTATCAATCTGTCTCCCACACTAGAATGAAATCTCCATGAGGGCAGGGATACATCTCATTCACTGATGTATCCCCAGGATCTAGACTAATACCCAGCACATAGTAGGTGTTCAGTAATTATTTGCTTCATGCCTGAATGAAAGTCCTCTTGCCACAGTGATCTAACTGGTTTTCCTAGCATTAACTTCCCTCCCTCCCAAAGCATTCATCACCCTGGCTCCAGGCATCTTCCTAAAATAATCTCATCTCGTCACACCCCTACTAAACAGCCTTTGATGAGTTACTACTTACAGTATAACTTCTTTCTGGCTTGCATGCAAGGGGCTCTATAATCAGGCCCAACCTACTAGTCCAGTCTGATTTCCTTCTGCCTTGTGCCTGCCCCTTATCACACACCCTTGGCTCTGGTGACCTGGGCTTTGTCCCTGCAGTTCCCTCACAGCTTCTTCACCTGGCTTGACTTCTGTCTAGGTCTAGCTGGAATGTCAGCAGCTACCGTCTCCTACACTGCATGGCCACTGCACTCCCCTTCACTTCTAAAGTCACTGGAAGGTGTCTCCACACCAGGAAGGCATCTTAGCCTTACAATCAACTGGAAAGTCAGTATGTCTTTAGATCAGAAATTGGAACTGAGCAACAAGACCCTGGTGGGCATGGGAAAACTGGAAAGGAAAGAGTGGACTGGTGCACTTGTTTCACTGGCCAAGAGGCAGGATGACACCTGCCAAGTAGATAATGAAACTCCGAGGACACTGGCAAAGGATCTCCGGGTTACACTTAGCCCATTGTAGGAGTCACCTTGGGGAAAGGTGATCTGGGGATCAGTAAATCCCCATTATTTGCACTGGAATTCTCAAAACACATGGAAACTGCCATTTTATACCATTTGTATTTTCTGCATTTATTTCATTTTTGATTTTACACTATTGAATAGATTTCCTTTCAAGAATGACCACTTCTCCACACACTGACATGGGTAAGGGGAAGGATGATATAGAAAGAGTCTGTGACCATCACGATAGCATTAGGAAAAGGGAGGACACCAAATTGTGCACATAGGATATAGAGGACAGAGGCTAATACCAGTATATCCACAATGCTGCATTACCATTAACACCAAACACCAAGCCACAGATAAACACATAAACGTCTGAGAAGATCAGATCGGGGTCAGTGAACAGGATTATACTCTAGACCAAGGACAGATTCAGCTGAGGCTAATCTTGCACAGATACCCATGATACAAAATACCTGCAATCCTTACAGGAACAACAGAAGACAGACATAGAATAATCCCTCACAGACACCCTGACACTGTGGGAGGGAGATTCAATGGATCTACCAACTCAGGACCGTAGTACTGGGAGACACCAGACTCAATTGGCACAACAAAATACATAAAAATCTTGTTCTCAACCTGCAGTGGTGAGTAGTGACTGGGGTCTTAAAAGCTTTTAAGCGGCCAGCTAAGATGCAGCTAATGGTCTCCTCTCATTGGAAGCAAAGAAGAGTGCAAAAAAACAAGGGCATTTGGAAGCAATCAGCCCCCAGGACATGATGGACCTCGAGACCAGAAGAAGTAGATGATGCCCGGCTACCAATGCCAACCACTCAGGAAAGGATCAAAACTGGAAATCCTGGATAGAGTGGGAGGAAAAACGTGGAACAAAATCCAAAAACACAATAATGACCAGACTGTCGGATGGAGTCTGGTGAGACCTCCAATACTATAGCCCTGGGATACATTTTGGGCCGGGAATAAAACTCACTCCCAGGGGCTGGCTCTTAGCCCAATAGTAAACAAGATGTACATGCAGACCACTCAACCCAGGGTGATGTACCCACATACTCTATGGAGATGCATCCCTTGGAGCAATTGACTGCAGGGCACGAGAGGCAACATTCACACGGAGGAAATGCAAGACACACAGGATTGCAGAACTATGAGGGGCATGGGGTTGGGGGGGGGGTTACTGGGCAGGGAGGGGAGGAGACTAGGTTAGGGTTGGGGATGGTAATTGGGGAGTGAAACTAAATGTACACGAAATGTTGAATGTAAAAAGAAAGAATGGCCACTTTTCTGAACGATTAGATATGTCTTTGCAGGGAGGAGTGTGTCCATGACCATGTACAGGGTTGGCAGACAATGTTTCTACAAGTGTATTTGTATGTTCTATAAGAATTCCCAGGTATATAGTAGAGCTGCAAGGGATAAGGTTGTAGTCACTTCTTGGCCACAGCCAGCTACCCAGAGGGAGCAAGTAGTTGGACCTGTGGGCTTGGGAACATGGTCACAGGGGACATCAAGCTCAACTGGTATAACATACTACACAAAAACATTGTTCCACATCCTACTTTGCTGAGGAGCAACTGGGATCTTAAAAGTTTGCAAGCAGCCATCTAGATGCAACAATGGGTCTTTCCTTATCCAAAGCAAAGAAGAATGAAGAAACCCAAAGATGTATGAAAACAATTAGTCCAAGGAACTGGTACACCATGCAATCCTCAGCCTATAGGACTATGAGACCAGAAGTACTTGATGGTGCCCAGCTACCACTGTCAACCACTCAGAGGGGGATTTATGTAGGAGACCTTGGATAGAGTGGGAGAACAATGTGAAACAAAACTCAAAATCATTGAAAAAAAAAAAAAAGGACCAGGTTTGCTGGTCTGATAGAGTCTGGTGGAAACCCTGAGACTATGGCCCCTAGCTGCCCATTCGGGTCTGGAATTGAACCCACTCCCGTGGCTTCCAGCCACACAAAAAACAGGCATATGAGCTGAACAGTTTATGTTAGGAAGATACACTCCTTGGAGAGATCAATCATGGGAGAATAGAAGGGCTGTATATGCACAGGGAGACAGCTCATGGGGCAGGAGTGCATGGGAGGGAAGGACACAGGGAAGAGGTAACTATGAGGAGGAAGTAGAAGGGGAACTGTTTCATTATGGGAGATTGCAGTCAATGCCATGAGACAAAGTGTATGTAACTGCTATATGGAAGATGAATTTTCTGTAAACTTTTACCCAAATCACAATAGGAAATACAAAACAAAACAAAACAAAAAAAAACACCTCACTGCCATCCTTGAGTTTCCAAGGCAGTATCTCTACAGAAGTAGATTGCCTAATCTTTC